GTTGATGTGGCTTCGCGGCCTGAGCCAGCGACTCTGGACCAGTACAACGCTATACCGGTGGAGGAGTTTGGTGCTGCACTATTGCGTGGAATGGGCTGGAAGGAGGGCCAGTTGATCGGGCGAGGAAAGTATGGCACTTCTGCTACGGATGACAGGTCTCAGACACCCCGGATACCCGAGCGTCGACCGGGCTTTTTGGGTATCGGTGCGAAGGACGTCTCTGGTGGCAAGGGCGCGGAGGCTGAGCTTGGTGCGTGGGGTAAGGCTGCAATGCGCAAAGGGGCTAGAAAAGCAGAGGCCCAGGGAGGTGAAGGCAATACGCAAGGTGTCTACATGCCTGTCCTGATGCGGAATAAGAAGACTGGTGAATACATCACGGAGGAAGAGCTCACAGCCTTGAAAAAGGAGGGCAAAGCAAAGAATGGCGACGACGACTGGCGGGAAAGACGAGACCGCAACCTTGAAAAGAGCGGACGTGACCGGGATAGAGATAGAGACAGGGATGGGCATTCTCGCCGGCGAGACTATGACGGTGATGACAGCGATCGATCTGACAGACGGAGGACGGGTTCTTCACGGAGAGATAGAAGTTTGTCATCCAGTGATCGACAGTCCAGGCGGCGAAAGTACGACGATGAAGACGGCAGCGGGAGAGACGACCGTTACTATCGCGATAGAGATCGAGACAGGGACCGGCGCGATCGTGAGCGGGATAAAGACCGAGACCGGGATCGGGATAGAGAGAGGAGTCGCGACAGGAGCAGCAGGTATCGGGATGATGATCGGTACCGCTCGAGACATTCATCCTCTCAGGCGTCTAGCCGCCACGGACGTGATCGAGACAGCGATCGAGACTCTCACCGGAGAAGAAGACTTGATGATTAATGTCTCGGAAAACGTTGGACAATGGTTGGGATTAGATAGGACATATTCAAGGGAAGAAATGTGTACATCTTAATCGTGCTTAAGTTGCTTTGTATGATACCCACGATGATTTGGGGATCCAAATATCACATTCTGTCTATACATGTTCGATGATTATCTCCAAAGTTGACCTAGAAGAAGTCTCAAAATTGCTACAAGCCTGTAAAGATCTGTATTCAAAGCATCTGAGAATAGATTCTAAGGGAGGAAATGCAGAAAATGGTTGAAAAGGGACAATGGAATGCTTTTAAGACTCCCGCGCCGTACAGGACGAAAATGGTATATGAAACAAGCGTACTCCGCCAGTGAAGCGCCAATACATCATTCTCTATATACTTTATACAAGAATCAGCTCACGAGCGCAGCATCTATACCCCCAACATGATAAAATCCTTTTCATGTTCATGTACTTGATCACCATTGGCCTCGCTCGTGCTGGAGACACCGAGGTCTCCCAGAAGGCCTACGCCGCCGTCCATCTCACCCAACACCCATTCGACCAGGAAGCTCTCGTCCGTCAGCTCCTCAACACGGCGATAATGCCGCTCTGTGTATGCGGCCAAAGCCTGCAGGATATCCTTCATGCCTGCGGCGGTGCGACGATCACTGCCTCGCTTTGCCATGCTAGACGTCGCCAGCTCCACGAATGTTGAAGCAGGATATGATCTGAACAAAGCATATAAGATTCGCTGCGCCACTCGAGAAGTGCGCGCGTTAGTGTTCCAGTCACGCAGTCGGAGCAGAAGAAGGCGGAGATTAGACGGATCGAGGGATTGAAGGACCTCATCGATCGATGCGTCACCAGTCAAACTGTTGACACGCTCGTCTTTGTCTGAGTCTGATGAGTACGGATTATCCGCAGTATCGATTGCGGTCGTGAAGATAGATAAGAGTCGTGCGGGATGGTTAAGCTGAAGTGCTAATGTGATAGCTTCGCGATAAGCCCCCGCTCTAATGTAATTCTGCAACTGCTGATCTTGCTCAATGCGGGCAGAGTTGGCGCTGACTGCAGCAGTGTAAGTCGCAGAGGTGGTATCAGTCCAAAAGGTGACGGTGGAATCAGCCGAGCCGGAGGCGAGCGCGTACGGAGTAGCGGCTTTCTGAGAAGGCGACGATTTGACATCGGCACGGGAGCCGGAGGGTGTAGGGCTCGCTAGCGCCCACACTCGATCCTCGTGATTGTCGAGGGTGGTCTCGACCTCACCGGTATAAGGCGACCAGATCTTAACCAATCCGTCGGCAGCCGCAGATGCGACTAGGGGTTTAGGCTGGGCAGCGATTTTGCGCGCCGAAGCCTCCGTATCATCTTCCTCTGCGTCTTCAGCTTTGGTGGACAGTTCTGAAGGCGGGAGCCAGATGACTTTCAGCACACTGTTTGTGTGCCCTTCAAACGTCAAAAGACAGCTGTAGTCAGACAAACTCCAAAGCTTGACGGTCTTATCACCAGAGCCTGTGGCAATCAGGCCCCTGTTGGTACTGCTTTTGGTGTCGGCGCTGATGATGGGAGTGTCTTTGGGGGCAAAGCGGACAGACCAGACTCCTCTCTTGTGTCCGCGAAGGACACCAACAACAGAGCCATCTTCAGTGGACCAGATTTTCACAGTCCGATCCTGTGAAGCCGAAGCAAAGAGAGTTGATGAATGGTTGATGTCAAGGGCATTGATGTCTTTTTCGTGGGCTTTTCGGGTATAAAAAGCCTTGGGTGTGTGCGGTTTCGACGAAGTGAGGGGAGCTAGCTTTCCAGTCTCCCATCGCTTGATTGTACGATCTTGAGAGCCTGTCAGTAGGAACGAAGGTGGATGGTCCAAGGGGTCATTGTGTGCGGGTGTGTTGACTGGGGGAGGCACTCGAGGAAGACTGATAGCTCCCAGTGACTCTGCATGACCTGTGAAAACTGCGAAACATGTATAAGATGATGTCTTGGGATCAAGACGCCAAAGACGGGCTGAGTTATCTTTTGCGCCAGTCGCCAACCAATGTCCAGACCAGTCTACATCAATGCATATGATAATATCGTCATGACCCTCAAGATGTGCGACATCGGCACCGAAATATTCACGGTCTTGGGTCGACGGACGGTCCTCAGACGGAGCGACTGATATAATGCGAATGCTTTCCGTGTTAGTGGCAAGCGCCAGCATTGATCTATCGGGACCGACATATGCTAAATCGATAATATCATCGTCATTGCCTGATATGCGCCTGACAACTGCCAAAGGATCCAGTGTGGAACTCGGCTTAAAGGCGGACAAGGACTCGAGCGAATGAAGCCTCAGGGTCTGGTCTGCATGAACGGTCATAGCGAACTTCATACCAGGGAAGTAGTGGATGGCCACAACCGCCTCAAATTCAGGCCCAGATTCTTGCTCTTTGGTCACCTCTCCTCCGCGGTTGCAGTCCCAGACGCGCAATTTGCCATTTTCACCTGCCACCATGCACAGCCCACTTTCGGCGACAAATGTAGCAGCTTCGACACTTTCGAGCACGGGTATGATTCGCCGCGTTTTGAAGGTCCTCACGTCCCAGACGATAACGGTCTTATCTCGAGCAGCAGATAGCAATGCATTCTCCGAAGGAGAGTATGACAAGCTTCGTACTACAGAGACGTGAGACTCAAGCGTTGCCACTGACTTTCTCTTGTTCAGATCCCACACTCGAACCTTGCCCTCTTCGTCTCCCGAGGCAAGTCGAAAGCCCACCGCGGAGTCAGATTCGGCCATGTCGTCGTCACCGTCCAGATCCACGGACTTCTTCTTTGACTGCTTCTTTTTTGAGGAAGACTTTGTGTCACCATCCTGAACTGGGACCTGGAAAAAGCACAGGGCTGATATAACACCGCCATGACCATGGAAAGTATGTGTGATATAGCCTCCCCTAATGTCCCAGACCTTGATCGAGCCATCTGCAGCTCCGGTTGCGAGTAGTGTACTAGTTGGGTCGACTGTAGATGTCACAACAGGTGCGGTATGCGGTTTCAAAGTTCGGAGAAGAGATGTTTCAACCGTTCTGGAGGTTTCGTCGAAGGGCGTCAAGGCATAGATTCGCATTGACATGGACCGTGAGCAGACGATGACATGGGAAGCCGATGGAGAGACTGGTAATGTTGTTAGTCCCGCACTTCAAAGACCAGGCCGGTGGCAGGGAAAATGGGAAAGGCAAACACGTACTTGCTAAGCTGGTGATGATTTCTCCATCCTAGCAATTCTGGGTCAGTGACTTGCGACTCGGTCACTCTTGGGTAAAAAGTCCAGACTCACTCCTTCAAGACTGGCAAGCTGGTCGCCAGTCTCAAGATCCACAATCAATGCATCCTCGCCGACACAAGTCACCAGTAACCGACCACTGGCATCGAGCGCGGTACTCCCTCCGGTATATATGGGACGAAGCGTGCGAGACGCCTCGAAAGTCGTCTTGACAACAGCTTTAGACATGATTCTTGGTGGATTCGAAGTTGATATTGCAAGGGGACTAGCGCGCCATCATACGTCCAGAATCAGCCCAGTAACACACAATTTGAAATGCTTCTCGTCGTTCAAAGCGACATAGGACTGCGCTGTTTCCAGAAACTTTTGATCTTTTTCCAGGCTGTTTGTTCTGTTTGTCAAACGGACAGAAAAAAAAGAACGATAAACGTTGGTCCGTGCAACAAGCGCAGTAGCCGCCATCAGTGCACACGTGATCAGCCCTCCCAATCTATCAATTATGACACTCAACTCTCGACCATCTTCATCACGGTTGTAACAATCAGGGTCCATTCTTTCAGGACAAAGCTCTTGATTTCGACCTATTTCGAAGCATAGTGATGCTGAACCATGGGCTCATGTCTTATTGACGCACAGGATCAGGTTTCCTTTGTAGCTCACAATGGGGCGGCAGGCTTATAGAAATCGACTTGCTCTGGTAGGCTTGAATTTCATATTTCATTCGTTGTAGTCTTTCTGCAGACATTATGACCTTGGTTAGTCGATCACAGACTTGTCACCTGTAACGACTTTGTTTGGCTTTGCTGGAAGAAGACGTCAGACGCTGGCTATGATCATGTGTTGGTGTTTATGTATCCTGTTGGAAGATACCTGATGATCAAGCAGGGCCGGTCTCCGTACGAGCCCCCCGAGCCTCCTGTGGGCGCCGCTGCTGATGCATCTGGCCGAGTTCACCGGAGGGTTTCAGCTGTCCATGCGGACGGATACGTCCAGCATTATGACGAACGAGGGCATCCGATAAACCCAGATTCTAAGAGCTTTGGCAGGGAGTTACGAAGAGCTAAGAATGACATCCTTTCAACAATGGGGATTGTCGTAAGTGATGATCGGAACGCTGGCGCCCCAAACGAGCAGCAGAAGATCGATACAATTGCTGCCGAAAACGATTATGGACTGATCATGGCCACTTTTGACCAAGTCGCTGTTTTCCTCAGTTCATGGTGGACCTCCTCGTTGACAGGGCGAATACAGGTAAGTACTGAGTCCTACCGATATCTGAAGCCTTGAAAACCTATCTGATTGGGTACATCCTAGGCATTCAAGAGCTACACCAATGTTCCTCTATTGGGTATCATAAGTCGTGAACGCTCATCTATGGGAATAATGGGATTTTACTTCTCCGGAGTTCCTGCATGGGCGGTGTCTACTTGTCTATCTATCTGTCGCCATCATCCCCTTGATCGAATTGTTGCCTCTCTGCAGAACAAGCATCTCGGTGATGACCCCTGGTCACGACTTGTGCGGGCCTCGCTCAACATATTTCATTCTGCGTAGGTGTCTGATATCAAGTTGGATGTCTTCAGCTGACTCTTTTGGCAGGGCGAGGGGCAGCCTTCTTGTCTTGGCGTTGCAGACATATGTATACTCATTACTGCAATCCCTGCATCTAGTCCAACCGTACTCTCTTCCGGGTATTCAGTTTCTTTTCCCGATAGGCAACTTGACGTCAATGCATTTTCCGCCTTTGCCTACTGAGCTCTCCTTCAAACCCCTCATCGACTTTGCGCTGGGGTTATCCAAGACTCCTTCTCTTCTCGTCTATCTCTATGTATACCTGCGGCCTATAATAGAAATAAGGATCTATCGCTTGATTCGCCGAAGATTACCGAAGCCGAGCCTTGCAGACGAACTCTCCATCAAAGTGGCGTTCGAAAATGATCTGATAGACTGGATGGTACCAACTCTTGGACGCAGATCAGAAGAAGAGAATCGCCGCAGTAATCTGTCTCTTACAGAGGATGTGATTTACGAATTGTCGTCCTTCAGAGACTGGATGTTGTCGTTGGTTCGTCTTAGGCCACGTCGGGAACCTACAGAGAAGGCGTGCTCATCACTCAGGGACGGACGGGTAGATCCTCTACGTCTGAACATGGCAGAGCTACAAAGAGAGCTCAATTCTTCGCACCACCGATCTGATTTACCCCAGGAAGAGAATTTACGGCCTACCGCTTCTCCTGAGGAGCTGGCTCTCCAGGATCATGCTGAAGCTGCGCAGTCCGGGTCTTCTGGACTAAATGTTTCCACACAGGGGCATGGCCAAGATGCAGACTATAACGAAAATCGGGTCCTATCCGGTGAAGATAATCCGATTTCTCAGTCGCCCGCCGAGTTGAGTACAGGTTTCTCCTTGGAGGCAGCCGCTACACTAGGGGGACCAACCACCATCCCTTCTGCTGTAGATTCATCCAACCCGTCGGCAGATACCCATCGCCCCTTTGAGCAAGCTCAGAGCAGGCTCAACTCACGATCCGATACCCTTCTATCTCGACAGTCGTCTCCTGCAACATCTCCTCCAACCTCACCACGTGTCCGAGCATCGTTAATCCATCAGAATTCGGACGTCATCACCATGCAGCTAGAAGTCCTGGGAAACCGTAATACTCACAACCAGAGTCCACAGAATCCAAGAACTGCCAATGAAATCGATCGGTCCGACTACAATGGAGCGCCCGCAGACCGTAGGTCAATCCAGGATTTCCTGGACAATCTTCTAGCGAATCAGGGACAAAGTCTCGCTACGGTAGCTGGGTCAGAAGCTGTAGACAGCGATGGACTTTCTAATATGACCACCGCACTGTCTCCTGAAACTGGTGACGGTGCGTTAAGTACTCCATTACACGATCAAGATCATGGTCAGCGCACATTAGATGAGCAGGCTACGCATGGTACTCCCGCCACGCAACCGGTCACAACACTCGCCAACATTCTACCAGACAGCGTGGAAGAGCCAAGCCAGGACGACAATCTTGAGCCGACCTCAGACGCGGACGTCCTTCATGCCGGTGCTTCCGATGGGGAGCTGCCACCGCCACTAGTGGACGCTCTCGCTTCTGGTGACATGCCAGCCGACCCCTCCTCTGTCCCACACCGCGTTACAATCCTTTCCTGTCATCCAGTCGACTCTCTTGCTTCACATCTCGCCTCTATTATCACCACTGCGCTCTTCATCCCCCTCGAGTCATACTATTTGCGTTCCCTCGCCTCTTCCTATCTGTCATCCGTAGGGTCCCCTCGACGTTCCGACGTCCGTCCCCTCGGAGCATGGGGCGGAGGTGGCTCTTCCTCGGATATAATGGCATATATGGGCAAGATGGCTCTCATGGTTGGCTTGCAAGCTGCAGTGAATGCAAGTGTGTGGGGGGTGATATCAGGCGCTGCAATCAGGATCGGCAAGCGATTCTGTGGTTGGGGAAGTCTATGAGCGTGCTGATCCAATACTAGTAGTCGGCTTGTCATCTTGCGAAAGACAAGCATGGCCTAATTTTAATCCTCCATCTATGTGGAGAGCGCTGCAGGGTGTAGACCGTGATACGGACTGATAACCCTATAGCTTTCATTACAGTGTGCTACATACTGGTGAAGCAAAAAATAAGCCTCATGGAACATGGAAACCATCGTTATATCATCACATCTAATTGTACAATAGTATCTCTCCAAGCGAGTGCTGCATCAGTATATCTTGCACATGCGACTTCATCTACCGCAGCTGATGCTTCTGAATAAATCACTTAGTTATATTGTCCCCAATGCCGGCTTCACCCATTGAGGGAACCCATCTCTCACTTGGCCGCGCCCTTGCCTTTCCGGTTATTCATACCAGGGATCTTTCGCCGCTCCCAAACCATCAGATAGCCTTCCCGCGTAAACAGAGTCTCACTCTCAGCCTTCTTGACAAATAGATCTTGAATCTCCAGCCATTCAGGTCCTTGCTGTTCCCCGGCACCTTGGCTTTGGTGCCGTCTGTTCTCCTCTGCCATGGCCTTGTCGTGGAGCTGGACGAGCCAAGCCACCCTCTCACTGCCAGCACCGGCGCCAGCTGACGATGTTCCGCCCGCAGCGGTGAGGCCCTTCTCTGCGGCATCCTCAGTGGTACCTGGTGCTGCCACAGTTGGATCCAGGATAATGTTGGCGACTAGGTCATATAGGATGGGTTCGCCAGGTGGCCAGATTTCAGGGTTAGGCTCTACGTACGGCGACATATCTAGAGAGCGCGGCGACGGGAAAGTGACAATAGTGGGATTGCGCTCAGAAACAAATCTGTTCTTGCTGAATCGTTTGATGTGGAATAAGAGGTAAGGGGGTAGAGGATGGAGAAGGCGATGTCGGACACGGTGAGCCAGCTTCTCGGAGGCAGTAATACCGTTGTACTTGTTCAGAAGAGTTGTGAGGGGAACATGGGGGATGATGGATTCTCGGTTCGCGGATTGAAAGAGGGGTGTTGGCGGAAGATCCAGAGTCAAAATGAGGAACGGGGTGGTTTGGCTATTGATAGTGCCTGATTCGGTGAAGACCAGACGGGCGTTTTGAGTATCTGAGTGCGCAGTAATGGCTTGACTTTCAATTCTCAAGTGACCTTGGAAAGCAGCCTGTATCACACTCGTCGGGGTCGACGATGGTTTCTTCGAACCACCTAGGGAAAGGTGTAGATTGTTTAAAAACCAGGAGAGGAATTCTACTGGATCCGATTGCTGGGTAAGGGTGAAGCGCTTCGATGACCGGAGCGCAATCTCCTGCAGCAACTCGTGTGGCGAAACATGCGAGCGGAAAGCCTTGGGATTCCATAATTTGCGTACCAATGTGCTGAAACGAAGGGCCAACTCTGGCGTGCCTGGTACAGGAAATTGATGCAGCAGGAAATAGTTGCGAATTGGGAAAACGTGAGCCAAGACCTGGACGACAACGTTGAGATAATCGTTGGCTTTGATGTTGTTCATTCCCACGAAGCCTATGAGAAAACCAAATGTGTTAGTTTGTGCTGAAAATCTCCAATAGAATTGAAGCAAAAAGACTTACCAGGTCTGTAACGATTACCTGCAAGATCAAAAGCATCATGAACCTCTTTATCCAATTTAGAAACCTCCTCTTTTGAGTAGTGAGGATCTACCACATATTTGATATCATCCAAACTTTTGCTCTTGACTTCATATCCTTCAGGAAGGACATAAACCTTCTTTGTCGATATGTTGATGAAGACATGATGTCCAACTTCGAGAGCGTGAAAGTACGCATACGACTTGGGCCCCCGACCCTGGAAGTATTTGCCGCATACGAGGCAGGCATACACGTTGATATTCGAAAGACTGACAGAGCACAGCTTCTCAAAGTCAAAATCGAGAATTTCGCGATTGATCGTGTCGAGGTAAAGGTCGCTGTAGCCTTCCATAGGTTCACTTTGGCGTTTCGGCGCTGCGATGACTGGCCGGTCCTCGTCGACATCGGACGATTCGGGGACTTCGGCGTTCTCTGGAATTGCCTCTTCCATCTCTTCCTCTTCGTGATCAGCTGCTGCAAGAATATTCTGTCCTTTGCGTTCATGCTCCTCCATTTGCTGACCACTGGCTCGTCGCAAAGGCAATGCTCCGTTGCGGGGGTCGCCTTCTTCAAGCTCGTCTTCCACACGAGCCTTCTTCGAAACAGGAGAGCCTACTGCAGGCTCATCCTCAAGCGACAGTTCCGCCTGTCTCTTCGACATCGTGGTCGTGAAATTAACAATCGTGTTGAGAAGTCGCGGAGATGGAGCTGGTATTCCGAAACCTTCGCCAGGCTAAACTCTAGAAGACGCGACAGATCAAGGATGCAAACATGTCAAACATGCAGCGTCACCAATGCGCATCCCATTATTCAAGAGTTATCTCGTTCTGCTCAAGCGTACTCAGGTGGATATTCTGAGCTCGGAGAGTATCGACTTTTTGAGTCATTTCCATTGGCCCCTATCAAGAGACTACATACGTGCCCAAGTCATGGAAAATACCTGCCATGCATCCCGGTCTTCAAAAGCAAATCAGTGAAAAGACAAATCATGGTATGATACAACGCCGTCATTCCAAGTGTGAAATTAAGCACTCTTGACTATTCTATCATTATCGATCTCTACTTCCTTGACGCCATCCTTGGTCACGACCTTTACAAGGAGCTATATGGAGCAAGTCAGTAGCTGATGCTGCAAAAGCCAATACCGCTGGGTTGTAAATGGGGAACATACGCCCTTGTAATCGATTGGTAGCCTGCGCTTGAGCTCGTCTGTGCACATCTGTAAAAGCTTCATACCCTGTTCGAGGGAGATATCGGAATGATGGTGTTTGTCCAGGATGGATAAGCAGTAGTACCTAACACTCATTGTCAGCGCCCTTGCTTCAGCGACTACTCCTCACCCTTAATGTCGACGCTTACTGAGCATAACCATGTGCGGCATAGGGTACGCGGGCAAGCGCAGACAAGTAGTCAATCCAATACAGGTGAGGTTCCTCTGTAATGGAGTCCACTCCGCCCAGCAGGAGGTTGACCGTGTAGGGGTTCCGCGATCTCAAACTCCGAGCCAATTCTCCTCGGACGAAGTTGGCAACAGCATTCGGACGCAGTTCTGTGTCATTCCTCATCGTGTATAGCGCAACATTAGCTTGAATGTATTCGGCAAATTGCACTATTCGCAACAATCGTTAGCGTGCTGTGTTGATGTCATTCGTTGCAATTCATCTCTACGGACCTGTATCTCCTGCCTCTCCCGAAAAAGCCATAAGAGTATGCTGGCTCAATTGCCGTGTCTTGTCATCCTCTGCTTTCAGAATAGTCGGCCCTCTCATAGCGGCTTTGGAAGCCGCCAGGATGACGAAGTCCTTGCCGGTGATACCTAGTAGAACCTCCCTAAAAGCAGCAGTTAGACCGTGCTCTCTTGGGAAAAAATGAATTCCATTCTCACATATTGATAGTAATCTGTTGTAGGAAGGGGAGATAGAAATGGTGGATGAGGAGAAAAGAGAATGGAGGATGATGGAGATTGTAAGCTGATGAGCTCACCTGAAGCCGCGCGAGCTCTCACTGCCTGGAGCTTCTGCGTTGTTGCGGAGCTGGTCGCTTACTCAGCATTTAGGCGTGATTTCTTCTCCGATCCCCGAGGCCGCCTGCTGCACGGACCAGCGGCAGAAAAAAAGAGCGACAAGAAATTATTACTTGCGGCCTGCACAAAAGACGGCCGGCATCTCTTACCCTAATACTTCATTGTCGATCACAGTGTTGCTATTGACGGATAATCTTACACGGTAATCCTCAGATACGACCGTGCGATGTCGTCCTTTTTTACATTGCCCGCTTCACAGCGAAAGCGGAAGAGAGACGACCGCGCCGCAGCTCCGGCATCAAAAAAGCGAGGCGTAGATGCGGACGGAGATTCTGGCGCGAAGGGAAAGAGCAAGACTAGAGAAAGAGATCAATCTATTTCTGGCAGTGACCTAGACGATGACGAGGAGAGTGTGGCGTCCGCAGTATCCGAAGAGGAAAGTGGTTCGGAGTCTGAGGATGGCGAGACGGCAGCAGAGAGAAGATTGAAGCTCGCTGAGAGGTATTTGGAAAACGTGCGGGAGGAGGTGGATGACTATGGCTTCGATGCTGCTGAGATTGATCGAGATTTGATCGCCGAGAGACTAAAAGAAGATGTGGTATGTACCGTCTTTTTTATTTTTTCTTAACCCAACCGTACTGCGCAAATATGTACCGGATAGACCAGATGGCTGACGCTCGAAAAGGATGAATTTAAAGGACGCTCTTATCGTCAGATAGCTTCAGAGTTAGCATTTTCGACGGCGACACCATCGTTTTTCCGCGCAGATACCCAGTCGACAACTTCAATTGCAGTACACCCGCCTTACGTTTATACAGTGTCAAAAGACAAGACCTTGATCAAGTGGGAACTCGCAACGCCGAGTCACGCTTCCGCAACAGTTCCAGCGGCGAATGGACAGAGTGAGGGATCTAAGCGTCCTGCAAGGCCTCAACGGAAAAAGCCAAAGCAAGTGAAATTCGCTCGGGGATTAAGAAAAGTCGCAGAGACCGGCGAGGAACATGGTCATACCAAGGCTATTCTTTCAGTAGCTGTGTCGCCTTCAGGAAAGTTTGTGGCTACTGGTGGAGAGGACCGGAAGTTGATCATTTGGGATGCTGCTACTTTGATGCCAATGCAGACCTTCAGCCAGCACCGCGATGCAGTTAGCGGGCTCGCTTTCGTCCGACACATCTCCACTATGAGCTCCGGTGAGCAGTTATTTTCCGGTTCCTATGACAGAACCATCAAGACATGGTCCTTGAGTTCAGCCGGCCATGCCTACGTTGAAACCCTGTTCGGGCACCAGGACAATGTGTCGTCAGTCGCCGCCATGACTATCGATCAGTGCATCAGTGTTGGAGCACGCGATCGCACCGCTCGGTTGTGGAAGGTCGTCGAAGAAACACAACTAGTCTTCCGTGGCGGGTCATCGAAAAACACGTATCAGGAAAATACCATCGACTGTGTGGCACCTCTACCCCCTACCCATTTTGTCACAGGCTCAGATTCTGGCTCCATCTCCCTCTGGTCCATTCACAAGAAGAAGCCTCTCCACACCATCCAATGCGCTCACGGCTTAGACCCTCTACCGCCACTAGACGAGCTCTCAGCTGAGGTCGATCAGAAACTCGCGGACTCAAACTCCCGTTTTCTGCGGCGCATGCCCCGCTGGGTCACAGCCTTGGCAACAGTTCCCGGCACCGACATCGTTCTTAGCGGCAGCTGGGACGGCTTCATCCGAGCCTGGAAGGTTTCTGAGGACAAGAGGACAATCATACCGCTTGGCCCCGTCGGCGGAGGAAAGCTCGGTTCTGCCGCACCGGACACGCCGTCTCGACAGCTCAAACAGACTCTCGAGTTTAACACAGCCGCCGACGCGGACTCCATGTCCGTCGACGAACCCCAGAATCAACACACCGAGGACACCAAGAACGAAGCCGAACCTCTCATCAATGGTGTCATCAACGATATCGCCGTCTTTGAGCGTCGTGCCGACACGGCCAAACCCGGCCAAGGCCAGGCCGAGTCCAAGTCCAAGTCCAAATCATCCGAGCCCGAGCCCCGCGGTCTCTGCATCGTCGCTGCTGTGGGGAAGGAACACAGGTTCGGGCGCTGGAAGTGCTTTGCGAACAATTTCCACGAGGGATCTGCAGCTGACGGCCGCAACGGCGCGGTGGTCTTTGAAGTTCCCTTTATTTCTGACAGCAAGCAGTGATTAGAACACATTTGCTGAATGGGGCATTGGAGCATGCATTTTGCATGCACACCTTATCATGAGGGCATTGGTTGCAGAAATGAAGTTCCGCAACCCACTGAAAGTAGATTTATGGTATCGAAAGACTCGTATACCGCTTCGATTTGTTTGCATCTTCTTTGTACTGGGAAATAGTCCGGCGTTCGGTACGCTCCCTAGCCTTCAATGTACATAAATCAACAACACAGGCCATGACAAACTATTTGTGGTAGTGTCCCTTCAGGAATTTCAGCCATCAATATGGGCCCGAGTTGCTCTTTTCTGACATGCCATGGACTCTTCGTAAATTACATAGCAGTGCCTAATACTTGCCGACTGGACAAACTTACTTTCCTCTACGAGTAAAGACAACTCCGACGTATTCATGAACCCTCTCTTGAAGTGTTCGCTGGATAAGGGCTATGGTAACTGCTATGAAGACCAAGTATGAGCACAGCTAAGAATTGGCCTTGAAAATGACGGCAAGGGGTATTGGAAATGAACCTGAACAATAAAGCCAAAATCACGCCTCGAATGCTAAAATAGATGTCCCTAAGCCCCGGATCCGATCTTTTACTCCCTCCCATGAGTGAACAAAGTAAACGCATCGATTGTATGATGTTTCCAGAATGCCGGAAATCGTGAATCATCGAAATAAAAAATTATGGTCGGTGTGAGTGCAAGCAGCGAAGTAGCAACTCCGTAGTTATGGTTCCTCTTATTATTCGCGCTGCACTCTTGCAAGTGAACACAGGACACAACTCTGTCCGAAGGGTGGAGCGCGTCGGTGGAATCGTTCATGAGGTCGCAACCCAAACTAATCAATGGAACTGCTCCATCCGGAGGACAGTGGATTGCTCAGTAGGCATGGACCCTGCAACCTCTTCTGTTTCGTGCCCGCCGTGACGGTCCAACGGGGCCCTCGTCGGAATCATCTTCGACGCTAATCGCATTATAGGCCGATGATCCCGCAGTAGACGCTTGATTCCCATGAGATGAGGTGCCGCGACGAGCCAAGTGGGAAGTCCTCGAGGTAAAAACACGCGGGGATGACGACCCATGTCTCACTGATATCACTACTTCATCGTACGAGGGTTCGGGACGACGGCGGTTCGCGTTGACGGGCGGCCGTACAGGCTCATCATCGTCATCATCGTCGTCGTCGTCATGTCCATCTTGCTCGTCGTGGTCCAGGACGCTGGATCCAGTTGGCGTAAGGTCGTTCAAGCCATCCTCATCATCACTAGTGTGTGTCATTGAAGCGTCAGTGTCCAACTGTGACACGTCGTAGTGCGCTCCATTGCGGTCCGGACCACCGACGACGGTAGATATATCTGAATCAGAGACATAATCGCGGCCGGTATGTTCGTCGTCATCATCAATAAAAGAATCCATGTCGGCATCCTCATCCGCGTCATCATAGTCGTCGATCTCCGAGTAGTCAAGGCTTGCTGAGTCGACGGAAGGGAGGCGTTGAATTTGGTCCCGGAGCGCGGGAGTTAAATGGTGGAAAAGTTGATCGAGATCCCAGCCATTGCGGTAGCCACCGCCAAACCCGACTTCAACTTCGTCATCGTAGTAATCAGTCATCTCAGAGTTCTCGTCCTCTTCGGTCCAACCCGTCACCGAATCGGAAGCGTCCGATACTGATTGATCATCCCGAAGGTATCCACATTGTGCGCAGCCGGCATCATCTTCAAGTTCCCAGGAACAGCGTGGACAGCGAATGACATTATCTTCAACATCGATGATGGGCGCCTGACGGATTGGCTTATTGAATGTACCCCGGAACAACCCCCCTTCTCTTGGATGTGTATTCCTTCTGTCGCGCTCCACTTTCTCAGCTTCCTCACGCTGAGAACGCTCATGCTGAGCGGTCGTCTCGTTTTTATCCAGGAGCTCTGCCCGACTCGTGAACATCTGGACGACTGAACGAATCTTCAAAACGGAATGTTAGTGCAAGTGCCCTGAAGACTGATATTGTTCAGAAAACACAGGGCATCTCACCAAGTACGCAGGCGCAGGCTGGGTTTTTACCGGCGCTCGGCAGTCGGGGCATGTTTTGTTCGATCTTCCCGAAGTAAACCATGATGACAAGCACTATCCCGAATGTTAGATATTTCGTCCGAATAATGGGGAATAGTACTTTGACCAAACTAACAGTGTAACAGAAGGTATGCCCACACGCGATTGTGAAAGGTTCATAAAGTGGCTTAACACAAATACCACATTGTAAGAGAGATCTGATGTCGTCTACATGTCCCTGCAGCGTTTGAACGAGCTGTGCGAGGCTATTTTAGCATCGGGCTGGCGAAGATCTTGGGTTAATTTCAGATTTATTCTACTCACTCCTGATGCACCGTCCCCCAATCCATTTATCGAGTTAGTCGAGTTCACATTATCGGGGCCGTTGGTGGATCTGGCTCCCGCCGTAGTAGATGGCGACATTTGCTTGATGGGATAATATTCTCCCCAGGAGGAGAAAGATCTCGATATTGCTCCGAAAACCCCTGCAATGACACGGAAACACAGATGCGAACAACCGCGCGAGCGAAATTGCAAATACTGCGATAGTGGCAAGATTGGGGGTTCACTGTCGGCAAAGCTTCAAAAACGCGGCAGCCACCTTTTCGTCTGAAGTATAGAAGGGTCCGGCCGGAGGAGGTCAGATCCCAATGGCAAACCGCGGGACGATCCCTCGAGGATTCGGTGACTCGTCCCGAGCGAAGATTAGACGAAGAATAGCTGGGAGAAAGAGTGGGGGAAAGGAGACCTGAGAAAAGGAGATAAGCAGAAGCAGAAGACGAAAAAGACAAAAGTTCGTGGTCGATAAACCACGGTCCTTCAGCCAGGACAGGGCGACGTGAGCATGACTCTCTTTTTCGGAAGTTCCGCGCGCCAAACTGAACAAACACCGCGTCGGACAATAGGCGGCAGGTCACCTGACTGGGCATTCCAATGGGCTCGATTTGATGGCTCAACAAGCCCCTTTCGACACCTCACAATCCATCAATCAAACAGTCAATCACCTTTGACCCATTTTCATGTGCTCGTCTGATTGTCCCTGGTTTCTTGTCCCTGGCCTGAATATGACAGCTATTATCCAATAATAGCAGTGTGGGCCTCTGAATTGACAATGACACTTCAGTCCTTGAACATGCACAAGAGCAAATAGTTTAATAAATAATAAGATAAGATGCAAGACGGTGTACTCTTGAATGGCTGAGGCCTAATTTCTCCTGATGATGAAGGGATATTATTGTGCAGCTCTAATCACTCAACAAGCCTGCCATTGTCTCCTTCTCCGCTCTGAATCGAACTCAGCTGCTCAATAGGCATATGTTGAGGTGTTTGTTCTTGAGCCAGCTTACCGAGAAGTCATATGTCATTAATATTATCAAAGTTGGCCTCCTAAGTATTGTCAGCACTTTGGGGAAACAGCTTGATGTGCTGCATTCGGATTGATATTGGCTAACGTGCTTAGACTCGTCACAATTTTTGATGCTACGACTTGCCTGGAACAAATATTGTCATGAGTTGGGCACCGGCTATCATGAAGAGTCATTGGTAAAGACATCACGAAAGAGGAGATAAACGCAGATCAGCAAATAACCAAGACTCGGAAGCATTGCGATCCGCAGTACTAGCCAGGAGTAAGAAAAGGAACGCGAGACTAGACTCAATCACCTACTGAGAAACTGTCTTAAATCTGCTTGCCCCAGAGTACTGAAGGCGACACAGGGAACTGAGTCTTGGAGCCTAATGACAAAGGGGATATGTGCATGTTCCACTGTAGCGTCAGCCTACTCTGCCGCAGCGAGCTCACGTTTCTTGGACTGCTTCAGCTTCAGATCTTCTGAAATGAGGTGGCTGTCACCAGTCACGCCTTTGATGACCTTGTCATCTTCAACGATCTCTCGGTCCATGTGCTCCAAGAATTCGATTTGTTCATGAATGAACTGCTTCAGGAATCCCGTGTTGAAGCGGCGGTTTGCACGCTTCCGGTCCCGCATGTACTTGTTGACTTCCCTGAGACGATCTTCGAGAATCTCAAAGCGGTATTCTGCAAACTGATGATACAACTCGCCAAGGTCAGAAATCGGTCTGATAGTGGTCAGTACCGTGTAGTCGGGAATCGCCGGAGACCGTGGGCGAAAGGAGGTCACCATGGTGATCCGCTCGGTCATTCCCGAGGCACGAAGGGCTCGATGTTCGATGTACCGTCCCTGGAGGACTACTGCCCAACCCTGAGAGACCTGGTTAAACTTGTATTGTACCCCTCGTGAAAGACGACTTACCATCTGGGGGCCCCGGATCTTGATCTTTTCGCCATTGCCTTTTCGCAGTTCTGTCTCTCCCCCAATCATTTTCTCGCAGTCGGAGAGCATCACCACGCAGACAAAGTGATAGCCGTCAGTGTGCCAATCCACGATCGGATCCTTGTCTTCCCAAGCACTGTCGGAAACATTCTTGCCAGCCTCCTGACTTTTCTTCTCCGCCACTGCTGCGAGAAATTTGGCTTTGTCCTCTTCGCTCTGGACGGAAATGTTGATATGTCCTATCTCATAGTCCATGACGGGAACCAAATCAACGCCGGCAATTTGAGAAACAATAGCGAGAGTCTGGGGATGTTTCCAGGCGTCGTACACAAACGGGGCACACCTGCGATTATCAGAGCGCGATTCGAAGGCACTAAAGACATCACAAACTCACTCTGCAGTATAACCTCTAAGTTGGCCCTTGGCAAGATCGCTGGAGCAGTGATACTTGGCAAAGACTTCCTCTCTAAGGGCTTCCTTTCTCATGACTTGAATGGCCTCGGCAGAGAACATTTGAAAGGGTTCGGAGACGCCGACAGGAGAAATAGCACGACGCTCTGGGTATCCGAGCTCTGCCATGGTGTAGACCTTCGAAGGAGGAGTAAAATTGAGATGCTTAGCTGGGTCGAATTCGACGAACTCCGCTTCGGTCTTCTTCTGTGGCTGAGAGGAATGACTCTCTATTCCTGCATCTCCGGTATCTTTGGCGTGAAGATCCAACGCTAGATCTGGGGATGGAGCAGAAGAAAGTGCCCCAGAAGCTGCCATTGTTCTGGTTCTGGATTATCGTCAGTCCATAACATGTATCATCCATGGACCTGCAACTACTGGCAATGGGCTGTCGAGGGGAACTCACGTCTTCAATACCGATTTCAACCTGAACCACTTCGATTAGAAATGCGAGTACGTATTCCTATAAGCCTAGTCAACTCAGACTGGTGGTGTGGAGAGGAGAAGAAAGAGAATAAGAGAGAGATTTGAACTAGCATGATTATCCCTTCAGGCACTTGTGTTGTGTGAATGTTGAGTATCGATAATAGGCGATCTTAAATTATGGCATATATAATCTCATACTATCAGTACATACATTCACTATGAAGTAGTGAATCTCGTGAATATATAGCTGTTTACTTAGGCCTTACATGCAAGCTCTCAGTATAATAACGGACTCTATAAATGAGATCTCCAGGAGTAAAAGTTACTTTATATGAAACTAACCGGCCTGCGAATCTTAAATGATAATAATAGGCTCTGATCTTGTCTAAGCTTCTATTTTGCTAACTGTTGATACGAATCTGATTTAGTTAGCATAAGTCCATTAAGCAGGTGCTCCTTTCTTGTCACTGTTTGTGATTCACAAATATAGCTCCATAAGGACTTTTGGCCACATAGGATGTGTGGCCTTAGCCCTCTGATTTTTCATAGACTTCTGGCTTGATTGAAGTTGAAGTCGTTGTTGCTTTCCCATCTTATTATAAGTCTAAGTAGAGGTCCTGTTGAGAGCGTAGTAATGTCGTCATTACTGGAAAGATAGCAGCTGATAAGTAAATGACGAGGGCGTAGCTGATGTATCTAACTTGCTCATTGAGACCTTAACCCTCCTCGTAGGTGGCCTAAGTTTATCTGTTCGGGAAACCTCTGCCCTCTTATCTACCAGAGATGACCTCAGGTATAGCATACCGGTGCAATAACTTGCATCACGACGTGCTTCATTTCTTTCCAGACTCAACTAGGAAACTATACAAAGCTCCACCAAGCAAGGCATCGAAGACCCATCGAAGATCAAAAGCACTAATTACCTCGCTCCCACTAGAAATTCTTCACTTGATATTGCTCAACCTGGACCTGGCCAGCCTGGGGATGCTGCGTCGCGTCGACACCACATCAAGGCACTTAGTAGAATCACTCCCAGCGTACTGCCTGTTGAGGGAGCATGCACCATATACGCTGCGTGTCATGGATGCTACGAGGTGCTCGTCGCATTTTGCAATCCAGTGGATATTTACAGAGTTCTGCCATCCTTGGTGCCGGACATGTGGCGAATTTGGCCCCTACCTTTACCTGGCAACAGTCAGTCGGTCATGCTGTAAATGCAATTATCTCCGACCCGAGTATAAAGTAGCACCAGTGAAAGATGTTTGCTTGCACTTTGGGCTGACCCAGAAGGACGTCAAATCACTTCCCATCGTTTACACCACCTTCACACCTAAACGCCGTTTAGCTGACGTTACCCAAGCAAAAGCGTTGGGTAAACAGCTACATGGGAGTTACAAGGCGATGAGGCAGCAATACCAGACCAGTCGGAAGGAACTCGAAGAAAACTACCGACACCGGGTTCAGGAGTGGAAAAGACAAAAGCAACAAGGAAATTCCGCTCGACGACCTCGGCGCCAATCTATTCCTACTACACTCGGCAACAACGGAGAGTCAGGCTCGTGGAGAATGCAGGCGACAGTTACATTTCCGTACTGGGATCGCCATACCCAGACATTGGAGCCGGGCACCTTCTGCCGAGCCTGCACCTATCACTGGGAGGATGGAAATGCGAATGACTGGAGATGCATGGAGACCATATGGGATCTACATCCTCCTAGCCGGGAGGCCTATTTCCGGGCTTTTCTGGAGGCTGAACTACCCCAACATTTTCTCCATTGTGCAGCAGTGAAGGCAAACTATGATTTCCGAGAACTTTCACTAACAAGAAAGGAACCTAGGAGAGAAGGAACCGATTTTGTAGTAGCACCGAAGAAGATCATTGCTGGATGAGATATTTGCTAGTTGTAGGACTTGTCGGGAAGTGAGAATGGCTGTCTATGTAGGTTACATCCTTCATCAGAACAGCAGAACACAGTGCTAAAGTGTAAATCGTGGTGGATTGCAGAAGTTTATACTCCGTACGGAGTTAAGTTACCTATAAGAGGAAGTATCTCCATATGCCAAGACTGTGGGACCCGGGCCGGATTTTCCTCGGCACCAGTCCATGTATCGTTCGCATGGAGGCTGGATCATCATTGAGGATTGCAATTATTCAGATATACTCACAGGTACAAGACCACGATCATCTCATCTTATTGTGTGGCTCAGCTTTGTGCAAAATAGTCCGTATCCTGAGCCCGGGGCCTCCCATTCATAGGAGAGATGTCATCGCAATCATCCCAAGCCGACCAACAACAACAGTCATCACAGCCAGGGCAACCCAATGCTTGGGAGAAGGCGGAGCGCAAATTTGCCAAGTAAGCTGATTCCTCCTGTTCTTCGAGATCTCTGTGCCGTCTGTTGTATTCTATTGTATTCCGGATAGTTTTGAAGACCTTTGTTGTCCGGTAATCCTCAAAGGGCATGAAATGCATCCAAATCTCGTTACTTCTGAATTTCACCAGTCTCTGCTTCAGACAATGCTCTCTTGTTTAGCAACTAAGGGACTGACTTTGATACAGTAAACATGCGAGTGAATACTATGACCCATGCCAGGATTTCGCAGATCGAAGTCTCAAGTGCATGAAGCGGAACGCCTTTGACAAAGATATGTGTGGAGACTACTTCCAGTACGTTTATTCCATTCTTTCCTGCCAATCTGTGCTGGTGTTCAGTTTTGTGAGCTTACGCGAGCTAATCTGTTTCCCGAAAGAGCCTATCGTGACTGCAAAAAGGAATGGGTATGTTGAACTAGTTAATGTCATTCATCAGGGTCAAAACAGCCCAGAGGGGAGCAAGGACGGCGCCAAGGGGACCTATGCGATTATCATGCTAACATTATTTCAGTTGACCCAGAAGAAGCTCAACTAGTCACTTGTCCTGGTACCAGGGGAGAACGGCTCCAGCACTGTCGATGATGCCACCTCTGCAGCACCGCTCTAGAGCTCTGGGATGCAGTATAGCGGGATAATTCCCTCGCCGACAGTCAACTTTATGGATCTTGGCATCCTATCGGTTTCCCAGGGCAGATCACTGGTCCTGAAGACGCAGGTAATACCTGAAGATCGGATTCGTTCTCTCCAACTCAAGTCAGGCGTTAGAGGTCCTATTGGCAGGAACGGATTCGCTGTGGTGCTTGGTTATGCAACTGCTGCTCAGAGCGAGACCTTCAGTCCATTTGACGACAGGCTTACAAGAGTCGACTATTCCGAATTAGGGGTGTTTAACCGGAGTTTGCGCTTTGGAGTTCGAGCGAAGTTTTTTAACTCGTATATTATCGTGTATTGTACTACTGTGGAATTTATCATCGTTTGTGAAATGGCTGCGCTACAGTTACCTGAGAGGTTGTAAATGGCTCCTTGTGTTTATACTGCTTTTCTCAGTGCTGCGCCTCACGGAGAGCTTGTGCTTCTGAAAGATTTATATAGATAGTATCGTGATGCCGGGAATGAAGACCTATGAAAGGCACCTTTTGTGGATTTGATTAGGATTACAATATAGTCCCCCACTAAGTAAAGCAAAAGAGTTAATAGTACAAGAGATTCAATTGATGATCTATAGCAGTAGCAATGAGACATTTTGGAAGGACAATAGCTTGTCAACTTACCTCAGCCATCACCGCCTCGGGAGTGTCTCTCCCCGCCAAACATGCGACGATAAGAATTTCCGATACAGCTAATTTATCATCCCCTCATCTTCCGCATTCTTCAATTCTATTCCCCGCACAACTGTGCTGTGCTCGGCCGGGCAGCAAACGACCTTGTCTGGTCATTGCCTTGACCTCTATCCCTGTCTACTAGATCTAATCTCAGATTGTTACCGTCGGGCTTTCTGATTCAGAATGTCGGCCACCAACGACGCCGTGTTTCATCGGCGGAACAAGCAAATTCAGGACGCCATTGATGGGCAGAACTTGAAGCAAGCCCTGCAGCTCATCGAGAAACGCATGAAAAAAGGGGAGGACTCGAGATTTCTCAAGGTAAAACATCCACCACCGCCCTTTTGGTTTATTGGCGCGACCAGTGTTCCGTTTCACTATTTCGGCTGCTTCCAAGCAATGTGACAGAACTCTTTCTTGCAATATTATCCATGAATGACAGCTAATTTCTGTTCGTGCCCGATAGGCGTGGAAAGCAGAGATCCTATACCGCCATGCGGACGACGCCCATCGCCAGCGCGGCCTCACCGAAACGCTGGAACTGTGCAAGCTAGAGCCACCAACGACAGATTTAGACACACTCGAGATCTTGCAGGAGACGCTACAGAAGATAGGCGGTCAAGAGGATACTATGAGAAGCTTGTGGGAGAAGGCTGCCAAAGCAAAACCGCAGGACTTAGAAGTTCAGTTGAGGTGGTTTTCATATGCATTCGAGGCAGACGACTGGAAATCAGCGCAAAAGGTCAGTACTGTACCTTGACGGAATCACCCGCATTTCTATGAAACTCATGCCTAACTGTTCTTCGTAGGCGGCTATGAGCCTTCAGAGCAACTTCCCCAAAACGCGGAAATACTATTTCTGGGCCATTTTCCTCAGTTACCTTGTTGCCGTGGACAAGAACAGCTTGGAGGCCGAACGGAAGCTCTTTGGGACGCTGGCTTATCGTATGGCCTCCAAAGCTGCAGATAGCGTCCCTGCTGATCCAGTACGTTCAAGCTTTCCCTTTTCTCTCCGTGTTCAGGCGACTCCCACGCTATGTATCTTCACGGCTTGATGAAATGATTCTTATACCCATCACAACAGAAAGAGTTGCTGAGCACTCCCAGAGCCATACAAAACGCCGAGGAGCTTTTACTACTTATCAAGATCTGCGAATCTCAGGGGCGTCACTCGGAGGTTGTGAAGCTCCTTGATAGCCAGAACTTGGGCCTGAGCTCACGGATTGTCCAAAACGATTGGCCTTTCGTTGGAGAAAAGCTCTCTGGCTTGGAGAAGGCCGAGATGTGGGCTGAGGGTCTCTCCTTCGCGAGGGACCTTCTGGCGATTCCGACTAATGAATCAGAGGAGAAGACTCTACAAGAGCGCGACGACTGGGCTGTCTGGAGCTTACTTGTTCATTCAGTTCAGAATATCAAGAACACAGAGTAAGTCGACTCTGGAGGAGAGACTCCTGATAGGCTAATAACGGTCATAGAACTACTGCCGAGATCAGGAAGTTCATCGATGAGTTTATCGAGGCTGTTCCCAAATCACGAAACGCACAATTGGCCCGCCTTGACTTGATTCACTGGAGCTTCAAGTCCGGCAGCCTAAAGAGCGACGAATTGATCACCGCGTGCCAGGAATACTTTGATCGAAATAAGACCAAACTGTATTGCTTCGTAGACCTTCGGAAATACCTGTCGGATTTGGATAAGGGATCTCTAACGGAGTTGATTCAATATGCGTCTCGGACCGAAGGGATTCAAGGCGATGTATGTCCAATTATGATTGCGATCTACGTCCTTGTTTACTAACTCTCTAATGAAGGAAAACGATCCGTTTAAGGACGTCCCAGCGATCAATGCTCTCAAACTCGAGTACTGCTTCCTGCTTTCGGCTGACGAGGCCAATGCCACACAGCCAAAAATCCAAGATTTTGTTTCGCGTTGCCTCCAGATCTTCCGCGGTGCAAAGCGTCCCGAGCGTACCGCAGCCGGCTCGACCATCGAGAGTCAGCCAAGTGATGACCTGTGCTTGCTCGCCGCTATGAGTCTCATTCGATTCAGTGGAGGCTGGATCAATGATAAGCCGGACCAGATCCCGGACACCAGTCTGATTCGCGCAGCGGGTATTCTGGAGCGTCTCTTGCTTGACTCTCCCCATAATTATAACGCGCTTCTGCTGCTCGTTCGGATATATCTTCGCTTGGGCGCAGGATCCCTGGCTCTTAGGACATTCAGCAAACTATCCGTCAAACAGCTGCAGTATGAAACAGTGGCCCACAACCTCTTTACACGGCTAGCAACTATCCACCCCCATTCAGCACCGCCAGTTGAAGGTGCAGAGTACAAGGATTTCCACCCGCAATCTGCATTTGTACAAGCCCTCAACTTTTACCGGACCGCGGATGTCACGACAGTTAGGAACAGGACGAATGGGTTGGAATATGGCAGTTATGTGAACGTGGAAGGAACCATTGACCTTCAGAGACGGCTCAAGCACAGTATCTGCCGTAAAATGTGGGCATTAGATGTGAAGCGGATACAGCGGTTAGCTGGAGGGGACAATATGGGCCGGTACAGTGATTTGGGTGAGGCTTTCTCATTTCCAGCGGAGTATATTAAGCCTAATGCTAACCTGGACGGCCACTTCAGCAAGAGAGACATCTCCCACGGTAGATCAACGTGTTTTTGATGCGTTTATGAACTGTGAAGCACCAGGCCAGACTACCTTTGAGGAGCGAGTGCGCTTGGGACCTCTGCCTAAGGTGAGTCTCCTTGTTTCTGGATAGAACGTGACTAATGCTGTTTAGGAACATTGGGTGAAATCGGCTCAGTTGACAGATCAACTGTTCGAGCTCTTGAAGAACCTTGCTGCTCAGAAACCGGTGTCTTCAGATTTTGATGTGCCTAGCCTGGATGATCTTCTGAGCTCAGACGCCGAGTCCGAGATGACCGCTCCTGAAATAGAGAGCGTCAAGCTACACGTGAACCTCCTCAAAGTGGCAAAGCTTCTCAGCGGATCAAAATCGGTCAGTTCAGAAGAGGTTGACACCTGCCTATCGCAGGTGGAGCAGTGGCTCGAGTCCAGGTCGAAGGACTTTGCCTTGGACAGCGCGAAACTCTCCCCTGTTATGTCGAGAACTGCAGTGTTCTTGCAACCGGAAACTCCCTCGGCTCCATCATGGAAATATTTACATGACGCTTTCCTCGTACTCGAGTCGCTCAAGGCGTTGTCCTTTATATATACCATCGCATCGAAAAAGGGTTCCAAGACAGCAAAGCTTCCCAAGGACCGTGTCGAAAAATTGGGTGACTTGATTGGGGAAGTGTATGAAAGCGTGAGAGCAAATATTCGTGCTCTCAAGTCGCGAGTCTCCGAGCCAGGCATGCTTGGCTCCCTGGTCGAGCTCGTTCTGGCTGGTGGTCAGGAACTTCGGACCGAGCTCGAGAAGACGCTTGACATACCAGCAGTGGAACTTGTCTGTGGTGAGCTAATGGAAAGCTGGGAGGAAAGCCTGAATGGAGCACTTTCTGTGAAGCTGTGACAAGCTGTGATGATTGGGTGACGGTAATCCAGAGACGAGAACTTGAACTGGATTTGGATAAATGTGTATATACCGATTCTATACAGATAAAAATGCCTGGCTTCATAGAATTCAAATGGACTAGTCACCCTGCCATGGATGATGAAGCACAAGCACGTGTGGTAGCCTTCAACGGTGAGCAGTGATACATTGCCTCAGTTCAGTGGTCTCTTTGTGACTGCTAGCACGTGCATCAACAATCGAACCAGATATAACCTTCCACCGTCCTACACTCCATACGTTCTCATCGAGCAACGGCCTTAGTTGTGATAGTACGCATAGAACTTTATAATCCCACTGAGCAAGATACCCCAAACTCATCGAAAAAATGCATTCCCGAATCTCATCAACATGTCCATCTGCACCAGATGCCGATCCCTTACATTCCTGGATCCTCATGGCCAGAAGCGTAATACGCGAGTCATCTCTCCTCCACCAGTTCCGAATACACTCAGGATACGGGCCAGTAACACAAGGAACCACCTCAAGGGTTACACAGCCGGGATCATCTCCATTCCCGAATCCCTGTCCTTCCAAATACGAGCCTTGGATTAGGATAATGGGGCTATTTGCCAGTCTCCACGCACAGATCTAGGCTTGTATACCGATCCATTCTATTTCCGTGCCACCGGGTTTCTAATTCG